AAAACTTACCAAGGCAACAGGTTACAGAAATACCACAGAATACATTTTCATTCAGTTTAGATAAGAATGAGGGCAGAAGTCTTCCCAGTACTAAATAAGGATAGGAATCTTGGTAGGATTGAATGGACACCACAATATTAAGGTCCTGCTACATTCAGAACGTCTATATTTTAACATTCTTTGAGCCCTTCTACTATATAACCCCCAAAGAGCTTCCCAAAATTCAGAGCTTTTTTTAAACTCTAAATGTTTGTGTTCTGTGAACTCTAGGAGAAACAAAACACCAATCTCAAACTGCAGATTTAAAATCTGGATTCAGTGCACATCAGTGCTACAGTGCCTACTTGGTCTTGAAGCTGTTATACTTTTGTTAGAATTAATGTGAATACTGTGGTCGTTTGCTCCTTTTTAATAAAGGAGTCATTCAATTTTTAAAACCACAAAATCACAACGAAGGCCTTGGTCCTTTGAGAATTTCATTTCATTCTAATTTCTTTAGAAGTACCGTACCTTTAAGTCACTTAGTAAAGTGTACTTTCTTGGTTTTAACATTAGTATCTAAATTGTCTAAAAATGTGAAAAAAATAAAGCAGTTTTGTTAATGTAACTGTATGTTTATAGTTCATCTTCACTATTTCCGCACGTGTTAAATCAACCAAGGATTACAAAGACTTTAAAAGACTTACAAACTGGAAAAATAAAAACTCTGCTCTGTTTGTTGTATAGTGTCAATTATACAACCTGTTATAGCAGCAGAGTCTTCTACAAGCTGAGATACAGAAAGTATATAATAAAGTCTGTTTGGAACGGACCTCTCTCTACATGGATTTGTGAATAAAAGAGAAGGTCGCTCTCCGAGACTCTTAAAGCTCTCCATGGCTCCTAAAGAACCACCAGGAAGCATCTGGCTGTAAAACCTTTGACCACCTGATTTCTGCCAATTTGAAAAGTGCTGAGAAGAGGTCATGTCCACCTATGTCGATCCACGAAGGGCTTGGAGAAAGCCACAAATCTTCTCCACCGATATGAATGTTCCTGTTGCTATTGCCTGTCGACAAACCTGACGTTGATAGGGGCTGCAGGCGTCAGTAGGCCATGAGTCTTGGCAGTAACCGTTTTGGTATATGGCGACTCCTCGATCCGGAACTTTTGGAGCAGCTGAAAGCACAAGGATGACAGGGGGAAAAAAAATCTGTATTGTGCCAATTTTCAGTTTCCTTAGAAAGGGTTTTAGTGTCGTACATGCTTAGCGAAAAAATCCATTTAATTATTAAACAAATCAAGATATTGTCTCTAGTGCAAACCACCGTCTTTTTCAAAACAGTGCCAGTTTTTGTGAAATGTTATTTGGTCTTATTTAGGTCCATACTGCCCATTTTTTGTTGGTTTTGTTTTATATGTCTCTCGTTAATCCCCCCCCCCCAAAAAAAAGACTTAAAAAAATCCTGTGGTACAATTAGTAAGAGCCGGAGAATCAAACCAAGTGTCCTGGATAAAATCCAGTCTAGCCAAACTAAAGTTCAGCTGGTGAAACAATTTCTCATTGCTCCACCTGTTCTGCTGTAGTAAAGAACAGCAGTTCTATAGTGAAGCTGCTGGTACAAGGAGTTATTATAAAGAAGGGGTATCTCCTCTGTCAAGTGCTTCAGAACCCTTTGGAATGAATAATAAGTAAGTGGACATTCTTAGCAGTAGTACTATTATACTGGAAGA